TGCAACCTCAAACTCCTGGGCTCAAATGATTCTCCCTCCTCAGCCTCCAGAATAGCTAGGAATACACGTGCACACCACCATCCCTGGCATACACACACACACACACACACACACACACATATATATATGTATTTTAGACAGTCTTGCTCTATCACCCAGGCTGGGGTGGAGGGGTGCAATCTCAGCTTATTACAATCCCCACCTCCGGGGTTTAAGAAATTCTTGCACATCAGCCTCCCGAGTAGCTGGGATAACAGGCATGCGCCAACATGCCTGACTAGTTTTTGTGTTTTTAGTGGAGACAGGGCCTCACCACGTTGGCCAGGCTGGTCTCAAACTCCTGGCCTCAAATGTTCTGCCTGCCTCGGCCTCCCAAAGTGTCAGGATTATAGGCGTGAACCACTGCTCGGCTTAATTTTTTATTTTTATACAGATGAGGTCTTGCTATGTTGCCCAGGCTGGTCTTGAATTCCAGCCTCAAGTGATCCTCCTACCTTGGCCTCTCAAAGTGTTGGGATTACAAGAGTGAACCATCACGTCCAGTCCCTTGAACACACTTACTCATGATGTGCACAAACTTCATTCCAATCATTTGGTAATAGTCCATGGAGCTCAACACCCAGACTCTGCTTCCGACTTGAGTTTCCTGAAAATGGAGACAGCCTGGTCCAAGTGACCTGTCTCAGCATCTCTCCAGAAAGAGGGCCAAGGATGCATAGGCAGATAAGAAGCTCTTGCTGATCAAGGTCCAATTTCTCTTCTGTGATTGTGATTCTTGCTGCCCATAGTCTACTACCTATTTTTCACCTGTTTCCAGTATTTCATGAGATTCACCATGCTTGGTAAATGCTTACAGACACATCTACCATTTGCGGAACATCTGGCTTACAAGAAGTGCTCCTTAGTTCCCAATCTCTACTCCTTGATTTGGTACAGCTTCTGAGCTTCTTCCCTTACTCTCACCTTCCTTCTTCTATTTCATGGGAGAGAGCCTTTCTGACATTTTCGCCTTTAAGCTTGCTTTTAAAAATACGTCTTGATTCTTACCTTTATGTATCATAATATCAATTACTTTATTACAAATACCATGATACTTTATCAGCAGAACTAAAATACATTTTTCATTCAAAAAAATTTTTTTTCAACCAGAAGTTTAAAAATACTCCTTTATCAATAGCAATGTGCCCTCTTTTTCTTTAAAGTGTTTGTTTTATGTTACGTGTTTCCCTAAACTTTTTTTCTGCCTGGTTCATTTTTCTTGTTTTAGTGCTATGCCTAATTTTCTCCTCACTTTCCCATTACTGAAAAACCAATAAGAATTGAGCCCATCATTCAACAACCAGTAAGTTTTGCAATCATGTAGTCTTAGCTGATCTTGGTGCACTTTCAAATATATGACAGACACCGATACCTTAAGAGATCCTTCTCTTATCTCTAGGACTTCCATCGTGATGGTTCTGAGATTACTCAATAATAATAATAATAATAATAATAGTAATAGTAATAATAATAGTAAAAATAATAACAATCGGCCATTACTGAGACATTTTCAAAGATCTGAACACTTTTC